TGTAGAGCTAAAACTGACTTTCAGGGTAATGCTTTGCCTCCCCGTCAGGGAAACGGGCAGAGGGGCCTCCCTCAGGCCCCGACACAAACAATTGGGGCAGTCAACTTTATCCCAGCAAGCGACAGCAATCCATTTCTGACCTCTGCAGAGCCACCCCGGGAAGTGCAGGACTGGACCTCAGTTCCTCCTCCCACACAGTACTAGCTCCAGAGATGGGAGTGCAAATAATAAAAACGGGTGTGTATGGCCCTTTGCCTCCAGACACCTGTGGTTTAATTTTGGGACGAGGTAGCTCAGCCCTTAAAGGCTTAAGCATTATACCTGGAGTGCTTGACTCTGATTATACAGGAGAAATTCAAATCTTAGTAAAAGCCAATGCTAATATTGTCTCCATATCACCAGGAGATAGGCTTGCACAACTGGTTCTGGTACCTTTAGTCGCTTGTTCAAATCCTACCAAAAAGAATTTTCGTGCAGCTCATAATTTTGGTTCTTCTGATGCTTATTGGGTTCAGGCCATCACCCACAAAAAGCCAACTTTAACATTATGGCTAGATGGAAAGAAATTTGAGGGACTCATTGATACTGGTGCAGATGTTACTATTATTGCTTCTCATGCTTGGCCATCTAGCTGGCCCACTATTGATACTGTAACTAATTTAACAGGAATAGGACAAAGTTTAAATCCAAAACAAAGCTCAAAAGTCCTCACCTGGAAGGACACTGCAGGTAATTCAGGTCGAATTAAGCCTTTTATTGTGCCTCATATGCCAGTTAATTTGTGGGGACGAGATCTTCTGTCTCAAATGAGAATAATGATGTGTAGCCCTAATGATACTGTTACTGCTCAAATGTTAGCTCAAAATTATTGCCCAGGAAAGGGGCTGGGAAAATTAGAGAATGGAATTACCTCCCCTATTCAACCCAAAGGAAAATTTGACAAATGCGGCTTGGGAAATTTTTAATTGCGACCATTGACAAGCCTGCACACTCAAACTTTGCGGATCCCATAACTTGGAAATCTAATGATCCTGTTTGGGTAGATCAATGGCCGCTTTCCCTAGAAAAATTAACTGCCGCTACGCAGTTGGTGCAGGAACAACTTAAATTAGGACATATAGAGGAGTCTCATTCACCCTGGAATACACCCATCTTTGTTATAAAAAAGAAATCTGGTAATTGGAGATTGTTACAAGATCTAAGAACAGTAAATACCACTATGGTACTTATGGGAGCTCTGCAGCCTGGGCTGCCCTCCCCGGTGGCCATTCCTTTACAGTATCTTAAAATTGTTATAGATCTTAAAGATTGCTTTTTCACCATCCCCCTGTGTCCGCAGGACCGTAAGCGCTTTGCTTTTAGCCTTCCTTCTATTAACTTTAAAGAACCTATGAAAAGGTATCAGTGGAAAGTTTTACCTCAAGGTATGGCTAACAGTCCCACCTTGTGTCAAAAGTTTGTCGCTATGGCCTTACAAAGAACTAGGCTTTCATGGCCATCTATGTATATCATCCACTATATGGATGACATTCTTATTGCAGGAAAAGATGGAGCAGCAGTATTACAGTGCTATTTACAGCTCCAACATGACCTAGCTGCCGCAGGTCTCCAAATAGCTCCAGAGAAAGTTCAGCTTCAAGATCCATACTCATATTTGGGATTTTGCCTTAATGGTCCTAATGTTTCTACCAAAAAGGCTGTCCTCCGGACTGATCATCTTCAGACATTAAATGATTTTCAAAAACTTCTGGGTGATATTAATTGGCTCTGCCCTTACTTAAAATTAACCACGGGGGAGCTTAAGCCTCTGTTTGATATTCTTAAAGGCGACTCAGATCCTAGATCTCAGAGAGTACTCTCGCCAGAAGCCAAAACAGCTATTGCAAAGGTGG